GCTTCGCGTTGCTCAGCGGCACTGCCGAGTGTTTGTAGCTCGCGAGGTGCTCCTCGACCGGGGGTGGGAGGTACGCCTGGTTCTGCACTGCCGCGTACATGCTGCTCACCTGTGACCTACCCCTGGAGGACGCGCGGCTCGTACCCGTGGGCGAACTCGGCGTGGATCCCGGAGAGGACGATGACGCTAGGGAGGTCGACGAGAGCGAGGGTAGGGAGAACAGCGAAGACGGTATGCTCGACGACGGTGCCGGCGAGGGCGGAGTGGGCAAGTCGATGCCCTCAAGCTCGGCCTCATCCTCGGGCTGCAGCTTCTCGTCGACACCGTCGCGTTCGTCGGTAGATGGGAAGAAGTTGCGGAAGAGCTGCTCGGCCTGCCACTTGCTCGCGTTCTTGAAATCTATCCAAACGTCCATCCGGCCGGGCCGGGACAGGGCCGGGTCGAGCCGCTCGAGGTGATTGGTGGTCCTGATTACATCAGCGATAATAGCGATTGTTATCAGATCCCCGATCACCGCAATATAAAGAAATTTCGCTACTCACGCAAAAAGCAGACGCCCCTCTGCAGCGGCAACACCGTCCAGCGCGTTCAGCAACCCACTCAGACTCAGCGTGTTCACGTCGCTCAGCTGGTCCTTCCGACGACGACTAGATCCATCCGTCGAGTTTGCGTCGTCCTGGTTGTTCGTGCTGTTGTTGTTATTGCTGTCCTTCTTGTCCTTGTCTCCACTGGGCGTGCCGTTCGAGCTGTTGTCTCTAGTTACACTGCGCGTGAAGGCGGCATCGAGGTCTTCGAGGAGGACAATGCATCTTGCCGGGACACGGCCCATCAGCGTCGTGAGCGTGCTGTCGTTGATCCACGACGAGGACAGTGACACAACGTAGATATCGAGCATAAGCTCGCCGGCGATGGCGTGGATTAGCGAGGACTTGCCCGACCCTGGGACACCATAGAGGAGGTAGCCACGGCGGAAGGGGATACCACGATCAGCATACCACTGCGCACGGGATTAGTTTCCGGCTCCGGAGGACGTGGATCTAGTGCGTACCTTTTCAGACTTGAGGAAGTCTCTTGTGTCGTCCAAAAGCATCTCCTTCACACCCGGGTTCAGTACGATGGACGACATCGGCCGCTTGTGCCGCGAGTCTGTCCAGCGCCAGCTGCCGTGCGAGTCGGCAAAGTAGATCTGTATCCGGTGTACCGCCTCGGCTTCGTACTCTCGTTTGGCCTGCAGGACCAGCTGTTTGAGGATGGAGTTACTGCGGGCGACGACACTGCACGCCACGTCAGTCAGCACATGATCCACACACTCTGTCCCAACATACACCGACTCACCTTATCGACAGCATCTCGCACCCGTTGCTTCTGCTCCTCTTCACTCGGAGCCAATGCCCCTTATAATAAATAGTGTGCGTCGTGTCGAACGTCGGCTGGAACACGACTCGCGTCTTCACCCGTCCAGGGCAGTCATCATCCTGCTCCTCTTCCTCCTCGTCCCCGAAAGAATTGTCCGCGGTGGAGGAGTTGTAGAAAGCGGACGATGTGCGCGTGGTCGTTTCGAACTCGCGCGAGCGCTGCCACTCGGGGCGACGTGAGAGCCAGAGCATGAGCCAGTCGTAAGGGTAGTCCTCCTCTGAGAAGTGGGCCGTCAGGAAGAATGCTGTGCACGTAGGACATGACTCATCAGAACGGGGTACAGTACAGGTATCAATATATGAATGGATAACTCACAGTTGACAAAGTGGGACCTGCGCCACGCATTGCCGACGTCAGTAACAAAGTACAGGTAAGGAGAGGACAGCGGGTGGGGTGACCACTTACCAAGCCGACGAGCTCATCCTTCGGGCAGTCTCAACAGTGGTCCCGAGGACGACGAGCTTCACGCCGTCAAGGACCGACGAGCCTCCTCCGGCGCCGACGAGGGGCTGCACGAGCGACTTGAGAGCGTCCATGACGATTGTTTCTGCTCAAACCGGGTATGGTTTGGGGTGGGGGCGGCGCAGCGAGTGAAGGCGGCAGATTGGTCCGAGAGCGGGGGTAGAGAGGGCGGTAGTAGTATACTGCTAAGCTTAAGAGTGATACCTGACTGCACGGGCTGAGTCTAGCTCGAGTACGTGGAAGGCGACGATGAGGACGCGTCAGCGCTAATGGGCAAGGATATGGCTAATGGCAAGCCTCGTGCGCTGGGAGTGTGGGCACGGCGCTTATATTCTGTTCAACGCCACCGCTTCGCTCCTGCCTTTTCCGCTCAACGAGCGCTCTCTGTGACTTTCCGAGTGCCGGGACCAAATCGCTGACTCGCACTGAGTCTGACTAGTGACTACTTGTACACAGCTTCGTCTGTATATGATATACGGCTGGTAGAACATATTATGATACGCTCAAGCACAGCCCCTCGACTGCCACTCCTGCTTGCCATATTCCGAGCCGCCGCGCGATCCTGAGGAGTATCGGTGTGGGGAGCACCAAGGCAAAACTCAGTGGTGTGAGCACGAGGAACAGTAAAGTGAACAGAATAGTTATCGAAGGCTTGATGACTAGGAAATAGAATAGAGCCCGGTATGACGTCGGATCTGTAAACTGCATGCAGCAGAGGCCAGATGACGTTTCGAAATGAACGTAGGAAAGATACGATTGTGATATTCAGGGGGTACGAACCCGAGATAGTGGGACAAACGCAGGATTTTTGTCAAAATAGGCAGGATATAAGGTTACGCCTCGTAGGACTCACCATTGCATACGTGTTCCTGTAGAACGACCGCTCGTATACCAGGGGTGCCCTTTGCCCAGATCCGAAAAGTCCTGACTCAACATCTGCGTCTGCGGGCGCTCGGAGCCGGGAGAATATAGAGAGGGGAGGATCTGGCAGGGGGTACGGCAGGGGGGAGTGGAAATACGATTGGAGAGTGAGCTGGGTGTCAGATAGAGTGGGAGAAGATCGTTAGAACGAAGTTGAGAATGCAAATAAGACAACGAGAGAGAACGAGAGAACGAGAGAACGTACTTCGGCTCGGGAGAAGGCTCGCGCGCCTAGAAGGTCTAGGAAGCAGAGAACGGCGCCTAGAGGCAAGGCCATCAGGAGCATTGTGCCCGTCTGCATTCAAGAGGATGGGCGTCAGCTTCGTTTCATTACAAGAAGAGATCGTCAGGAGGATGAAATGGCACAAATACTACATGCCTCAGCGCGTCAACGTAAGACACAAAATATATCTAATAAGACGACACAAGTAGCACTTTCGAGTTTGATACGGCATGGAGAGTACAGCTGCAAAGCTACAATGTTCCCGACAGTATGCGGGGTTCGTGCACAGCTCTACGAAGCGACAGCGGGCACAACAACTTGTATGAAGTCGCTGGGCTGTCAGTCATACCATCCTGACACGGTGAATGATGCATCGCCTTAGATCCGCGCAATTCTCGTCGGGACAGAGGGAATGGAGCCATAAAATTCCCAGCACAACAAGACCAAATTCACTCACCAACGTGAACACAAAAAGGTACACCCAGGCTACTAGTGCGAACGGGAAGTTGATCAGCAAGAGATGCGCCAGGCTCATCCAATACCGCCACCTCCCAAGCGGCCTCCAATATCTCCTCCAATTCCTCATCCTTCTACTCCATGCAACTGAAGGTGCTGGCGAGTTTTCTGAAACCTCATGGGGCGGGTGCGTCGGTAAAGGCGCGTAGTCACCGTCATCGTCATCGTTATCCAAATCCGACTCGTCGTCCGAGTGGAACAACGTAAACGCCGTCTGGGCGAGGGACGGCGGTCGCGTATGTGGCGCAACAGAGCTCGCGCTGGACAGATACGTCGATGTGTACGAAGTCGTGCGCGGTCGAGGAAAGGGCGGTGGGTTCACTGGTACAGACAAGTTCGGATTGGCGTTCCTAGACAACCGCAAGCTGCGATACGACGAAGGTGACCCTGGAGTCAACAACGGTGTTGTCTCGTTTAGATTCGAGGCAAGTGTGCTCAAGGTCTCATAGTTGTCCTCTCCTTCGCCACTGGTAGAGGTAGGGAACCTGATATACTCTGAGGCGAGCGAGCGTCTGCGCCGCGTACGCCGCGGTCGGTGTGAAGGGTATGGCGGAGGCGGATCATCGGTATCGACCGTGGTGTTCAGAAGGGGTTCGAGGTCGGGGGAAGGGTCCATCGTCGTTGCAGTCATGCTTGAGGGCCGCCTTCAAGCATGGAGTTAAGGCAAGTCGACAAACATGTTCCGAAATCCGCGACACCAGCTACTTTGTTCCCACGCTAACCCTCACTTGCAAGGTTGATAGCTCCTCTATGATAATAGTCCTCAGCATCTCAGCGGACCTTACAAAGGTAGGTATAATCGATGTCTGAGAATGGTTCTGTGCAGTTACTTTCGCAATCCCCTCTACGTGCACGCCGATATTCCAGCATCAAAATAACGGCAAACACCGAGAAATACTGTCCGACTTCTTGACTCTCTGCAGCTCTCAATTTTGAGAATTATGGAAAATCTACCCTAGACACGCTCCGAACTGCATCCAAAGAATCCAACGATATGAAAATCACGGAAAGATGTGCAGCTGCCCAACGCCAGGATTTCGCGTGGGAAAGTCCACCAAGAACGCGCCGTGTGCTGCCGTGAGTCATTAATTTAATATTGTTGCTGGGACATCTCTACTCATCGTATTTTCTACTACAACACCATACCTTCTATCCGTAAAGCTAGTTATAAGAAGTAATCTTGTGACTCTCAGAAATGAGTTTTGCGGTGGCAATTGCAAATCTTGTGCCAAAGTGGCCTCAATTAAGTTCTTCTCCTGGCTACACTATTGCAACTTCTCTGCTGTATTGACATCCAACCATACTCTCTGGAAGGATGTGGGTCCAAGAACTCTTAGATGGCCATCCAAGGGATAAGCACTCAGCTTGGAATGCACCAGCATGTTTCCTCAGCCTATGGTGCGGGTGGATGTGGCACGCTTGTAATGGATCACGTGAGTTCAATTGGAAAAGCCACAAACAAGACACTATAGCCAAGTGGTTACGGCGACAGATTCGAATTATGCTATTTTCCATCTGTTGGGCTCTGCCCGCGTAGGTTCAAATCCTGCTGGTGTCGTCACTATGATCAACGATATTTCGTGCAAAATTTCCGTTACCACCTCCTGTCTGGATCATCTTCCATTTTTTGCCATTTTCCGAGTAATAATTGCGTTCCCGCCGGCGAGTCCGGAGCAGGAAGGACCGAGTATAGACTGGACGGCCGGTGTGACTGGACCTGTGGCCGAAGCCGGTGGCGGCATGGCCGATGGGCTAGAGAGCGTCGGGGGCGAAACAAAATTCCCATCATTGTCTAAAGGCGACGTGCCCTCAGCTCCTTTTCCCTCGCAGTGTCGCATCATCTGGTGCCATCCCCTCATCCGCCACAACTCGCCCAGCGTTGGCCGCTCGTTCTTTTGTTTTTATCTGCCAATTTGCTGTAGAGTTGGTTCGCAACCAAACAGGGTTTAGCGCCGTTTCCCTTTGCGTGATCAGACTCCTTTTCCCCGCTTGCCAACGACCGCTACCCTCTTCATCCCGCCCTTTTTTTCACCACCAGACACCATGGGTTGTGTACAGTCAACTGGCGTCGATGAGGAGGCGAAGGCCCGTGAGTTTCTCTTTCTCCGAGAAATTTCGATGTCGCTGTCCCTAACTTATGCGTTGTCCGCCCAGGCAACGATGAGATCGAAAACCAGCTCAAGCGGGACCGCATGATGGCCAAGAACGAGATCAAGATGTTGCTTTTGGGTGCTGGAGAGTCTGGCAAGGTGCGCGTTGCCTAGGCGGACGGGGGGTCAACGCTGACATCTGGCGTAGTCAACGGTGCTCAAGCAGATGAAGCTTATCCATCACGGTGGCTACAACGAGCAGGAGCGGGACTCGTATAAGGAAATCATCTTCTCCAACACGATCCAGTCCATGCGGTAGGTACCCTTCCCCTGTCTGCTTTGTCCCCCCTAACCTGCTTCAGCGCCATCATCGAGGCCATGCCCCAGCTCGACATCCCCCTCCAGCCCCAGAACGACGCTCGCCGTGCCATCATCCTCTCTCTTCCGCCCCAGATTGAGGGCGACGTCCTCCCACGGGATGTTGCCGACGCTGTGCGCGGGCTCTGGCGCGACCCGGGCGTCAAGGAGGCAGTCCGTCGCTCCCGCGAGTTCCAGCTGAATGATTCGGCCGTCTACTACTTCAACGCCATCGATCGCATGGCCGCCCCGGGCTACATGCCCACCGACCAGGATATATTGCGCTCTCGTGTCAAGACGACCGGTATCACCGAGACCACATTCAAGGTTGGCGAGCTCACGTACCGCCTCTTCGATGTCGGCGGTCAGCGGAGCGAGCGGAAAAAGTGGATACATTGTTTCGAGAACGTCACTGCTCTCGTCTTCTTGGTCTCCTTGAGCGAGTACGACCAGATGTTGTACGAGGACGAGAGTGTGGTAAGCGCCTTGCATCGTGAAGGACTCTGCATGTAGTAACTTTTCTCCAGAACCGTATGCAAGAAGCGTTGACGCTATTCGACTCGATCTGCAACTCACGCTGGTTCGTCAAGACGTCGATCGTGCGTCTCATTTACTTTCGTTTCTACGCCTTCCATAACCCCTCTCCCAGATTCTTTTCCTGAACAAGATCGATTTGTTCGCTGAGAAGCTCCCGCGCTCGCCGCTTGGCGACTACTTCCCCGACTACCAGGGCGGTGACAACTACGACGCCGCGTGCGACTACCTCCTGCACCGTTTCGTCTCGCTTAACCAGAGCGCAGCGACCAAGCAGATTTACGCGCACTACACATGTGCGACTGATACCCAGCAGATCAAGTGTAAGTGACCCGCTCCCACGTCATGCCGTATCCGTCTGATGATCATTCCCCGTAGTCGTGTTGAGCGCGATTCAGGATATCCTGCTACAATTGCACCTGCGGGAATGTGGGCTCTTGTAGAATGCACACCGGTTCCATCTCATCCATCATCATCACCCCGACCTGTCTATTTCACTATCTACATGTACATGAACGATGGCAGCCCCCGGTTCAATGCAACGTCTACTCTCACCGCACGCACTCACGCAGCTTACTCATTCCCGTGGCCGGATCTTGGATTTTGTCTGCTTTTAGTTTTATTTTCTTCTAGTGTTTTTGTCTTGTGGTAACCCGGGTGGGCGCCGAGTAATTTACAGATACATTGGACCATGGGGACCATCTCGACTTGCTTTCAGGCTCCTTTTTCTCACTTATTACTTTTATCCACTTGTGTATATATGGTATCCCCGTGTTCAATAGTCCGCAATCCCTATGCACTTCCGCTCTTTTAGCCCGATATACCCTGCCGTTGTTCGAGTTTGTAATGCCCATCAAAGAATTCGTAGGTGTCTCACGCTGCAATACCTGGTGCCACATACAGGAACTCCGATTTTCTGGAGTCTTACAAATTGCCACTGGTGTTACGCACAGAACATGGGACCCTTGATTTCAGGCAATTTTAACCCGTCATATGCTTCGTTCCCGGCGGCGGTGACTCGGTTCGAACTCAACGACAACTTGAATGTTCTCCGAATCTTCTAAGCTTAAGCTTGGACCACGAAAATCTGGGCAATACAGTTCTCTGCAATCCAATCGAAGCCACAAAGCTAGCCACCCATTTCAACCAATCAGTTGAGATATTATTGCATATGCATCTCACATCATATCAGATATCTCTGGAAGTGCTTGTCCCGGGTACGTCTGATCCTTCCAACTCAAATTCCCAACTCCGATATCAAGGTATACATCGGGCTGTTACTTTCCCCAGTGATCATTGATACACTCCGCACTCAACGGCCGGGTGCATGCAATGGTATGACACTATCGCGCACAGCCTCGTCCCAATGATAGCTTGAAGGTGAGAGCTTTGATGCAGGAACTTGTGGTCTGTGCGAGCCTCGTTGCGAAAGTGGAAATGATAAGAGCAATACTATTGCACGGCGTTGCTACCAACAATTCGCTTATACCTCGCAGGTGCGTCGAGTCAATTATACTTGACATGTTTGCCAGCTTGAGGAGACGCCCGTTAACACGGATTAACGACATCACTGATGTAGTACGGATGATGACATGTCAGTATGAAGGAAGCGCAAAGATATTTACCAGACGGGCTCGGATGTGAAGCTTCATCTACTGTTCATTGCCTGCTACATGTTGGGAGAATGTCGATCAAGCGCGGCCGGAGCGGATGCTACTGAATGCCAGTTCAGGAAGACGTTATGGCGAGCCAGTTATTGATATGTCTCGGATTTGCGCAGGCTTGCCAGCCTGTGAGGAGACGGCTGTCACGGATTAGCGGCATCATTGATGGAGTACGTGATGATGGCATGCATCAGTATTCAGGACTAGTGAAAAGGAAATTTACTGCGTGACAGGCATCAGGAAAAACCTCCCGAGCTAATCATATCTAATTCACATCTGATTCGACAAAATCCGTTTGATGTAGATAATTTATATAATTGAACATAATAAGAACATAATAAATTTGAATTTGTTGTGATTACACAACCAGTGTTTTTATTATATGATATAAACTAGCACCTCATGAGACAAAAAATCCAACAAGCACACTGCACATCCCTGGCAAAGTCGAACTTGAGGTGGCGCACAACCTGCCACCAGTCAGGTGTTGTGATGTGCCTGTTGCCGTGGAGGGTGGCCCAGTGGTAATGCAAGTTGGTGAGGCAGGGTTCGGCGGGGGACGAGGGCCTGGGGATGGCGTAGGGACGAGTGTGACTCTTTGTGGTGGTAGGATGTTGTTGTCAGATGGCGGGGTGCATGGGAAGTGCTCAGCGAGGTTGTTTGTGAGCATGTTGAGCCACGGCAGCAGCGCGCTGTTGACCCTGCACCCAATTAGCATTCACCGGGCCCACGCAGACATGGCCACTCACCTGGGCAGATACTGTTCATCACCCTCACCCCTCTGCATGAGCGCATGTCCTCCCAGGACCTCTAGGCAGTGCTCGAGCAGCTCCGTGGGCCAACAAAACTTTTCGTAGGTGCTATCGCCGACACTGAAGACTCCAAAGTCGAGTTTGTCAATGAGGTTGGGTGGGAGGTCTGAGCGGAGGAGCACCAACCAGAGTGCCTCACTGCCTCTGCGGGGCAGGGAAAGGCGCCCGAGCCTGATGTGGAGAGGAGGAAGAGGTAGAGAGGTTCATGTTGAGGCCGGCATAGCTGCAAACAAGTGTCGTGTTAGTGTACCGAGGGGCTGAAATCAAACCACTCGTACTTAACGCAAACACTAGTGCGAATCCGAAGGTGCGGGATCTCTTGGTCTGGATGCAGGAACCTAGACCAGAAATCGTGAGACACGCATCATCAAGCACGATCACATGACTTCATTGATTCCAAAATTTGAACTCTGCCTTCAACTTAGACCCTTTACAAGTCATGATTCCTTCCTTGTTCTTTCCCTTGTCCCTCGGTGCCACACCCAGCATGTTCGCACACTCTTTCATAGCATATCGCTGTTCTCTTAATGACCAGCTACAGTCTCACCCCTACCCACAACGTGCCTGCTATCTGCATAGCCCAGAGATGGGCATCTCTACCTGGCCAGTGCGTGCCTGCTTTCATAACTGCTTGAAGAAGAACCCCAACCCCGTTTCTTGCATTCTAGAGCCTTTGCCCTGGTATTTAACACAGGTGTGATTCTCAGAGTCTCCACCAAACACTGCAAGCGGATCCCGAGTGAGGACTGTTGCCTTTTTCATCGAGGTATGTCCCATGCATGCGCACTCTACAGGGCTGAATCTTATGTTCAGCTCATCGAGGAACCCCAATACAAGTACCCCGGAGGCGCAAGCCTGGACAAAGTGTTTGTCCACCACGGCGTCTGGAATCACGACAGCCTCCCAAGCACTCACATCCTTGCCCTGTGGCATATGTTAGTGACCACCCAAATTTCCTTCAAAGACGTCATGGCTGAAGGTGGTGCGGGAGGTGGAGGGGATGATGGGGCTTCTGGTGCGACTATGAAATGAGTATCTATATCTCAATTGTACACGTTCAGACTGATCTGGGTTGCTAGAGTTATAAGGGATGTCACGCAG